TAGGTTCGACTGATAAGAGTTTTAATTATTCCCCATGCCTCTCACGTGCACCACTGATACAAATCCCCAATTCTACTCATTCAATCCCTAACCCTTGACCATTAATTCACAATTCTTCTTCGATTCCTTGTCTTTCTTCTTCTCCTACTGTGACATGAACCTTTGTAATACCCCAAAATTTCATCTAGTTACCAAAGTGTAAATTTTTAAAGTTTAATGGCCAAAGTATAAATTTGGGAAAAATTTAGAGACCAAATTGTAATTTTAAAAAGTTATGCAATCCGGTTCCATAAATGAATAGTTCTCCCCCAAGAATGATGTTTCCGTGGGAATCAAATTTTTCGTACGAATTTTGTATTAAAAGCTATAAAGTGATAAAGTTAGAGAAAAATTCGGGTAATCAGATCGAATCAAAATTTTAAATTATTTTGAAGGATAATAAAACAAGGTCAATAATGTTATTTTTCATATATTAATTTGGAAGGATTTAATGTGGAACATTGGATTTGAGATGATTTTTGCATGTTGAATATGAATCGTTAGATTTAAGTGACTAGAATGTAATTTTTGGAAAATTTCAATGGCAAAATTGGAAGATGAGAAATTATTGTGCAGTGATGATGTAAGGGATGAGGGAAGCATGGTAATTTAGTAATTATCATGAAATTCAAGGGTGAATTAGTATTTCATTTTAAAGGTAAATTGGTAATTTAGCATTTAATAAATTTTTAATTCATTATTTAATAAAGAAAGATGAAGAAAAACAAGACTTTTTCTTCATCTTTTCCTCCATGGCCATGAGCTTCTTCAAGGTAAGGGAGAAAATTTTCTTTTTGATTTTTCAAGCCAATTTATTAGGAATTTGGATGAAGACATGAAATAGAAAATTGTTATATTTGAAATTCTCTATCATTTGGTATAATTATTTCATGAAATCATGCTTGGATGATGAATTTTATGACTTGGATGGATGAAGGGGATGTTAGGTTTTGATTAATTAAGGCTTGATTATGGTGTAGTTGATGTTGGAGAATCATTTTCGTGCTTGTATGATGATTGAAACTAATTGGAAACTTAAGTATTAAATTCGGCCAACTTAGGGTTTTTATGGAGATTGGTTGTTTGAATTGAAATTGATATGGAATTTATTGTGGGTGATTGGAAATGATATTTGGACGTTGAATTCATGCTTAAATCAAGTTGGAAAATTAATCTAAAGTAACCCTTCATATTCAGACATGGTGAATAAATTAGGGGAAAATATGCAAAAATTTCCTTAAGGTTAGAAATGATGAATGAATGATTTTGTAAGCTTTAGAAAGTTGTTTGGGCCAATTTGGAAGCTTATGAGGGTTTAGGGACCAAACGTAAAAAGGAATAAGTTAATTATGAGACATTGAAGTGAAAATTTTCAATTATGAGGATTCAAAGTTGAAATTTAATATTTGGGTGTTGAATTTTAAGTTAAAATGTTGACATAAGATCAAATTTCAAATTTGGTTAATTGTGATGGTTGAATTCGAATGTATTAGGAACTAAGGGATTGAATTGCAATTATGCAAATGTGAAGGTACTGAATTGAATATATTTTTTACAAAGATGGAATGTTTGGGATTGATTTAAATAAAGTAAAAATGATGAAGAATCAAGATGCAAGTTGTAGGAAGTATAAAAGAAATTAAGGATGCAAAATAATGAAATCTGTTTAGATTTTTGAATTTGGCAGTGAGTTTGAAAATTCACCATAAATTCTATAAAAATGATTTTTGAGGTGATTTTTATTCTGTTGTGTTCATATATCAATCTAGTTTTGTTTTAAAAAAAACGGGTATCAATTTTTAATTTTATAATTAAAGATACAAATTTTAATTGATAATAGCTCAGAAAACAAGGCAGCAGATTCTGCTCAAAACAGATTCTGGAAAGTGGATTAGAAAATTCACTATAAATTGTACAAGTTGAATTAGAAGGATTTATTTATATGGTTAGATTCTTATTCGGGTCTAGTTTCAAATGGAAGAAACATAATTAAATTCCAGTATGTATATCAATACAGAAAAAAAGATTCTTTAAAGGTAGTGTAAGTTGTCAGAATATGGAAATTTTAGAATTGAAATGGAAATCTATTAGAAGCTGAAGAGTAATGCTTAAATGTTTGATTAGAATGCTTGAGTATATTTTTGGATGCTTGGAATTGAATTTAAATGGAAATTAACCATTTTGAATAAATTGGAAATGTTGAGAACAAATCTAAAAGAATTCATTTTAGTAGCTAGATGATGGAATTTGAAAGGATTAATTGAGTTATGAGTTGACATTAATGTTAAGAGGATTGAAGTTACATTTAAGTGTTATAGTTAGCATTGACGTATGGAAATGGGTTTAATATCAAATAGGTATTGATAGATTTTTTATGAAATTTACTACTAGATTGTGCCTATGTTATTAAAATACTAATATATGATTTGGAATGTATGTGATGTATAAATGATGAACGTGAAGATCAAGATCAAAGAAAGGTTAAAGGTAAAGAAAACGTTCAAGAGTGAAGCTATGAACGCTAAGTAAGGTTATTAGTGAGGCGTTACCAAGTGAGTGCATTTTACTTACTCTATATAAGTATGACATGAGGAATACTTGTGATGAGTCAACCTCGAATGACTTGAAAAGAAATTGATTTCAATTTGTTTTATTATATTTCATATTATTTTGTTTGATGTTTTCTTATGAATGATTTTGGGTATGAGTTGCCCAATACATTTTTATATGTTCGTATTTATGAATACTTTAATATTTAAATGATATGTGAATGTTATGGAAAATTTCTTTGTATATGTATTGAGATTTATAGTGTATTATACCTAATTTTGTTAATGTTTAACAAGGTTTTGATGAGTGAATGATGTATGATACTTTATTTTGATTATATTTGAAAAGATTCTGATAGGTGAATGATAAATGATTTAAAGAAGTGCACATTGTAAATGCATTGAGAATCATTAGTATAGAGGTGGAGCATTTAGCACGTCTGAAGTCTTTGTGATGGTGGTGTTACTGTAAATGATGATTTAGCACGTCTGACGTCTATAAATGATGATTTAGCACGTCTGATGTCTTTGTGATAGTGGTGCTACTATTAATGATGATTTAGCACGTCTGACGTCTTTGTGACGATAGTGTACGTGCTACTATTAATGATGATTTAGCATACGTCTGACATCTTTGTGACGGTGGTGCTACTATTAACGATGATTTAGCACTGATGGTGGTGCTACTATTACTGATGATTTAGTACGTCTGACGTCTTTGTGATGATGGTGCTACTATTAATGATGATTTAGCACGTCTGACGTCTTTGTGATGATGGTGCTACTATTAATGATGATTTAGCACGTCTGGCATCTTTGTGACGGTGGTGCTACTATTACTGATTATTTAGCACGTCTAACGTCTTTGTGTCAGTGGTACTACTTTTAATGATGATTTAGCACGTCTGTGTGATGGTGGTGTTACTATTAATGATACCTAGCACGTCTGACGTTACTGATGTAACGGTGGTGCTATTTATGTGTATGTTCATCTGACTCAAATACCTTATATTCTCAGTGATTTACATTTGGCTATGAAATAAAAAAGTGAAAAGTATATGTTATGAGATGAAAATGAATGATACATGTTACATAATGAAATAAATGAAGTGAATGAAACATGCTATGAAATGAATAAGGTGAAAGGTAAATGTATGATATGAAATGGAAATGTATTAGTTGATTGATTTGATTTAACATGAGTTTTATGGCTTTAAAAAAATGTAAATTGTTTACAAGGTAAATAAATTGCATATGATATACTTACATGTGATTCATGTGCTATGTATTCTCATTTATCATACATTAAACTGTGATATGAAATGATATGGGAACATACATGTTTGAGTGAATTGATGATAATATCTTTATTGAGAATTTGATTGAGATTGAATATTTTATTTATGGTATGATAAATTAAAAATTAGTAGTTTTATATAATGTTATTATATTTTAATATATTTATGTAGGATATGTTTAGCTATATACATGTTTTATTTTAATTATTACTAAAATTATCATGTCTCACTAAGTGTGTACTTAGCGTGCGATGATTTTTACGCGCAGGTAAAAGTAAGCATACAGAGTAAGGAGTTAGGCCCAGCATCAACTTTCGAAGATCAGATCTACTCTATAATCAATATGACATCTCTGAATATTGATAATACTAGTTGGCATGTATATTACATGGTTGTGATATTTAGAACTTGAAATGTCTTTTATCTGGTTTTAAATGGGTGATACTGCTTAATACTATTTATGAACTATAGTTTATTTACTAGTATTTTAGTGAAAATGGTTTTTCAATTGTATCATTTAATTAAAAATATTTTGACTCTTGATATAATTGATTTATTTTAGAAAAGAATAAAATTTTACCGATTTTTAAAAAATAACTTATTTATAAAAAATAAATTTTATGTGACATCCTCAACTCGACTATTCGTGTTGGTAAAGAATGTGGGACACAAAATGTTTGTAAAACACTAATTATTGCATATATCAGCCTTTTTGACAATGAGGAAAAGGTAAGCTTTTAAACACTTATCTTTTCCTTATCAGTGGAAATTTTAACTAGTGCATGACAGACATAAAGATCAGTTCCTTGTAAAAGCAACCACATAATTGACATTCATAAGATGAAAAAAGAAGGAAAAAAAAAGGTTTAACCTCAGAAGTAATCACCTTTTCGTTATCCATTTCAAAGACAGCAGCAAATTTAGAAATTTATGAACACCCTCATATGCTTACTTCATTTCAATCAGATCCATGGTTACAAAGAGTTACAGTAAGTTTGAGAACTAAAGATAGTTCATCAAATGATACAAAGGGGAGATAGTTACAAAATCTGATATTTTTTTCTACTCCATTTGCCACCATGCAAAAGAATTACTAACAAAAAGACCCCAACTTTTCTTTTTCTCTTTTCAACTAAATCAAACAGGCCTGTTTCTTTTGTGACCAGCTTTGCCATCTGATCTCATAGCACCACTCAAATTCTCCTCGGATGATGTATCCATGGATTTGGCAAAGGAGGCTGAAAGATCAGCATAGAGGTCCACAACTCTTCTTATGTTGTTGTTGAGCTCCTTGATTAGACCAACATTTCTGCTCAAGTTGTCTGGGATCTTGGACTCATGATTCTGGTTTATCTCATTGATGAGCAACCTATTCTGGTCCAAGATATCCTGGACCTGAACAAAGCTCTTTTGAAATACCTGCAACACCTTTCTATCTAACCGAGTTCCACTGTCAATCCCTGAGAATGTGTCACCTTCCATTGTTTCCTTTCCCCTTAGTCAGAGTTGTATCAAATCAAAACCAAACCTGAATCCAAAAATACAAAAAAAAAAGTAAAACAAAATATGAACTCCTAACATGGTTCGATAAGGGAAAGAGTCCCAGACAAAGGCAGTTTGCGCATATGAGACAAAGGCCAGCAGTAGAAATTATGACCTCCATGGATTCCACCTTTCACATAAGAATGCGTTACCAAACATGATAATAATAATATCAGTACTTTTATTTTTTACTATTACAGTTGCTATTATTAATATTATTGGGGATGAAAGTGTGAAAAGGCATATCCCATTTCCATAAAAGGGATCCCTTTTTTACTTTTCTCGGAAAATACCCTCCTACAGCACTTGATTTCAAAGAAGAATGTCAAATACCGAAAAGGAAAAAAATACCCTCTTAAGTCACATGAGTCGCGATAGAATGCTCTATTGATACAGAGAAACAGCATTACGTTTGCAGATCTTTTTACACCAAAAATGAAAAATCTGAATTCTCAATAAACAAACAAAAAATGTACATATCCTTTATAGAATTAGATTACCTTCAACACAAAGAAAAAAGAAATTTGATTCAAATTCTATCCAAAAAAGGAGATGCCTTGAAAAGGTTCTTATTTCTAAGCGAAAAAAGACCCCATAAAATCTCCAAAATTCACAGAATTTCAGCCCCACAAAAAATGATAAAAGAAAACCAAGAAGCTGATGAGACCCAACCCTTGTAAGAAAGGGGGAAATGCTAGGAAACGCATGAGCTACAAGAAAAGAAAACCATTCATTTAACTACACAAGGGAAACAAAGACAGTGACGAAGAAAGACATAATTTGTACATGTCTTCAAAATCCATTCATATACACGGCAATCATGTAAAAAAATATTTTATATACGTACCTTGAAAATCTGGAGCATTATATTCAGATGAAGCCGTGAAGGAGACAAAGAGTGAAAGAAGGAAAACGAGGGATTCCCGAGAACAGTTGGAAAAGATCGCCGATTAAACTGAATCTTAAGAACCGAAAAGAAAATTCTGAATTATGAGAGAGAGAGAAGATGAAGAGAATATGTAGATTTGACGGTCACGCTCTCGGACCCTCTGGTTTGTCTAAATATTATAGATACTTCCATATATTCTCACGCATAAATAATTAAATATATATCCACCTGTTTCCTTTTTATTAATTTTTATTTTGATTTATTGTTTATTTTTTGATTCAGTTGGGGATAGGATTGCTGTTCTATGAGTTTTGCTCAGATCCGGCAGGTGTTCATTTTTCGCCACGTGGCATTTAAACTATGATGAAAATTACCATCTTTTGAATTGAAACGGTCCCACCACTCCAGATATCTTAAACAGCTTTGTTCATTATTTTGGTATTATTTGTTATAAACTATAGTTTGATGTTGATTATTTTATGGAGAAAATAACTTCAGTGACAAAAATGTCTTATAATATATGATTTTAACCAATTTTTTTTGTATTTGTCAAAATGACCAACTAAATCGCAATGCGATTGATAATTCGCAACGCGATCTCCGGTATCGCAAATCAGTTTCCAGATTCGCAACGCGATTCTGACTATCGCATTACGATTTCCCAAATTCGCGTTGCGATTTTCCTAATTCGCAACGCGAATACGTAAATCGCAACGCGAATACGTAAATCGCAACGCGAATACGTAAATCGCAACGCGAATACGTATTCGCATTGCGATTTACGTAATCACATTGCGAATCTGTAAATCGCAACGAGATTCTGACTATCGCAATACTGAATTTCAAATTCGCAACTCGATTTCTGAATTCGCAGCAGGTTTTAATTTCGCAACAAAAATGTTTTGGGTATATAACTACGCAGCAGCAACAACAACTCATAACCTAAATCCCTAAATCGCAACTCATTCCATCTCCATTTATCACTCTCTCCGGCGACATCCGTTCCTATATCCAACGACATCCTTCCCCATCCGGCAACAGGTTTTAGTTTCACAGCTCGTTTGTTTAGTAAATTAATTTACAATAATGAAATCATCTAATGCTGATCATGTTTGGATAGATTTGTGTTTTGGAGGGTCATGGGAGAATGTTCATGGTGTTTTACAATATATGCCTTTACCCATGAATCTTCAACTAAAACTGTCATTAAAAAAGTTAACTTATGAAACTCAAATGTTACGTGTTACAAATAAATTGAATTTAGAGCCCCTAAGTGGATTTAGGCTATCTTATCAGAGAAATGGTAAAGTTTATTTGTTAACCGACAATGAAGATGTTGAATGATTCATTGCTTACATTAATGTTTCAAGTGATAATGTTACATTGTATGTTGTTAAACCTAGAAGTAGTGAAGTTGGGTCAGTAGCGGATAGTAATCAACTAAGTTTTTCAACCCCAGTTTATGGTGCTCAAAATTTAATGGTTCCACCACAATTTCATCACCAAGCAAATATTGTTTCACCACATTTCCAATACCAAACACAATCTCAAAACCCACAACCTTTCCCTAATCCAAATCCTAATCAACTTTCAGCACCAAATTCCGGTTTTCGTATTGACCAGTTAGACGATGATGAGCCAACAGAAAAAATTGTGAGTACTAGTCAGTATTCGAAATTTGATCTTGGTCAATACCCGGACTTTGATCTTGGTCAATACTCGGATTTTGATGATTTTTCAGAAGAAGAAACAGACCCTGCGTGTAATGATTTTGATATTGGTCAATACCCGAATTTTGATGATGAAACAGCCGTTGCCGAGGAAGATGTTGTTGATGATAATGAGGAGGAAGTTACGACTGTAAATAAACATGTTGAACATTCATTCTGTAATTCATATAATACTGAAGAAGAAAAAGAAGAAGAAGAAATCCCCAAAGAAAAGTCCCCGAAGAAAATACCACGGGAGTATAACTGGAATATGCCAGAATTACTTCAGATACCGGAAGAAGAGTTGGTAAAGATAGCAGTTGATTGTTACACAAAAATTATTCGTATCAAGAAAGATGATTGTTTTGATACAAAGGAAGACTTGAAGATAGCTTTGTATACGAAATGTGTGGAAGATGGCTATCAACTAAAAGTTAACAAATTAAGCAAAGATCGTTTCGAAATAAGGTGTATGATTGACAAAAACTGTATGTGGCGTATGATTGCAAAGAGGATAAAAGATTGCGAAATGTTTCAAGTTAGGACTTTTATTGATAAACATACATGTTCAATAACCCAAGTTTTTCCTCACCATAGACAGGCAAACAAAAAGGTGTTGGGTGGTTTTCTGGCTGAGTTAATGTTTTTGAATGGTAGGGTATATCGGGGACATAAAATTATGACTGACATGAATGCTCGGTTCAAGATTAATATCTCATATTCTCAAGCTTGGAGAGCCAAATGTTATGTCTTGGAATTGTTGAGGGGGTCGCCAGAAGCATCGTTTGCCCAACTGTCGGCTTATTGTCACAATTTAAAGCTGAAAAATCTTGGGTCGGTAACTCATATCAAAACAGATAGAGATGGACGCTTTGAGTTGCTGTTTATCACCATTAGTGTTGCGGTTAGTAAATCAATATAATTTTGTTGACTTATTTTTGTTAGTTACATGCATTTCACATTTAAATGATTATATTTCTTGTGTATATGATTTTGTAGATTCGTTCGTTTATTAATTGCATGCGCCCAGTTATTATAGTTGACGGAGCACATTTAAAAGGTCGATACCTTGGAGTAAACTTATTAGCAGTAGCCATGGATGCTAACAATGGGATACTGCCAATAGCTTATGGGGTTGGCAAATCTGAAACCTCTGATTCATGAACATGGTTTATGGGGCATCTTAGGGATTGCATAGGTCCTATTAGCAATCTGACAATCATATCTGATAGGGCAAACTCAATTGACAACGCTGTTAGAAGGTGTTTCCCAGATGCTTTTCATGGACTTTGTGGTGTTCATTTGTATAGAAATCTAAAATCAAGGTCTGGTGGTATAAAAAATCACAAATGGACATACTGGAAGGCTGTAAAAGCTTATCGGAAAATGGATTTTAATAAGCATATAAACTGTTTAAGACGTGTTTTGCCTCAGTGTGCTCAAACACTAGAAGATATCGGGTTTGAAATATGGTCAAGAGTACATCAACTTGGAGCAAGATATGGTTTCATGACGTCTAATAGTGTATAATCAATCAACGCTCTAAGTCGCCATTCCTGGAAATTACCCATTACTATGTTAATGGAGTTTTTTCGAGCCTCTATTCAACAGTGGTACTACAAGAAAAGAAACCATGCATGTATTATTTCTTTAAATTCGTAACTTATCATATATTTTACTAAGTATTATTTATTTAAATTTACAGGAACATTGAAACATCGTGTTACACCATGGACAGAAAAAAAGATAACAAAACGTGTTGTGAAGTCAACGTCATGGAGAGTTGAACCATGTTCAAACACTTTGTTTGAAGTACTGGATAATAACTTAAATGGGCTTGTCGATCTAAATGCAAAGACGTGTAGTTGTATGAAATGGCAAACATCTGGTTATCCGTGTGGTCATGTTATAAAAGTTTCTCTTCATCTAAACCAAGATGATTCAAGCGCATATGCTATGGATTGCTACACTACAGAAGTATATCGACAAACTTATGGCGAGATTGTCTACCCTATTCCACATCCTTCTGAGTGGGACATACCAGATGATTTACAAACAATTTTTCCACCAGTCATGGACAGAAGGCTACCTGGCCGACCAAAAAGTCATGATCGTATACCGTCTAAGGGTGAAGAGAAGAAGAGATCGACATATAGTCGGTGCAAGGAAAGTGGTCATACAAGGTTGACATGTGGATCACCAGTGCCATCATAATCATCTTTTCCTCTACCAAAATATGGATCCTCATCAAAATCCAAAGCTCATATGGTGTCAAGCAAAAGGCAATCATAATCGTAATCATCTTTAAAATCCCAATCACAACCGGCTTCACCTTTTGGGACTGTTAACTTAGGTGATTTTTAAATGCAAACGTTATATTATGTTGATTTTATGTGTGAACTTTTAACATTTTCAGTTAGGCATGTATTAGTAACTTGAGTTTGAAAATTGCTATGATCTGTTCAGTTGTTATCACTTATTAGGCATTCATTTGACTATCGCAACACGGAAATGACGTTCGCAATCATCTTAATGTCTATCGCAACGATAGAATCGCAATGCGAAATGAAAATCGCAACGTGAAAATCGCAACGCGAATATTAATATCGCAACGCGGAAATGACTATCGCAAAGCGAAATGAAAATCGCAACGAGGAAATCGCAAAGCGAAATGAAAATCGCAACGCGAATTTAGTTTCGCGTTGCGATTTTGTCGTTGCGATTTTCATTTCGCATTGCGATTCTCTCATTGCGATTTTCATTTCGCATTGCGATAGTCATTTTTGCCTTCAACATAATGCAGATTGAAATCAACAAAATCAACCATTACATTTCAATCAATTAAACAAGCACAAATAAGAATTATGTTCACATCAATTAAACAAATCAACTTTTACAAATCATCTTTTACAAATCAACTTAACCAAACATTTTCAAACCAAAAGCCTATAAACTTACCAATTGTTTATGGACATTTTTATAACGCGGATGCAGGTAGGCAGCGTCTCGTATATATCGATCTAGCCATATAATGCCAAAACCACAAGCCTACTGCAGCTCTATCTCTATCGGTGGGAGGTAGATACTTTATACTTCCTGTGATCAAACGCTCCAGCGCCAAGCATACGAGAGGACCACAATCCCCTCTGGCTCCTTCCGTTTGTTGTGGTGCGGTCTCGTCTCTGCTAACTATAATATTGAGCTTCTTTGGCTTCTTGTTTCCAGAACGAGTCCAATAATTTATCGCATCCAAGAATTTAGCCAAATGAGAGCTCCATCCCTTAATAATATCTCTTAAATCAGCCAATGATATGTAATTTATCATGCTGTCATATACTATTACCTTAAGGGATGGGAGTTGAAGCTCGACGAGAAGCCAATGTTTACGTTCCAAAACAAGGATAAACACCTGCAATCATAAGTAATAATTCATTCATTTGCACACTTATTTA